CTGGCGGTCAGTTTCAGCAGCGGCTGAATCTGGACGCCAGTTCCGACTTACATACAGATTCAACTTAAGAACAAACCTACAGTCCCTATCTTGTACGTAACCCGGGGCCTGCCTGTACTCTGAATACTCCTGTAACTGACAACCTGTATAGAGCTAACACAATTGCATTCCTTTACCTTATATATCGAATTACTTCCCTTTTGGCGGTCAGTTTCAGCAGCGGCTGAATCTGGACGCCAGTTCCGACTTACATACAGATTCAACTTAAGAACAAACCTACAGTCCCTATCTTGTACGTAACCCGGGGCCTGCCTGTACTCTGAATACTCCTGTAACTGACAACCTGTATAGAGCTAACACAATTGCATTCCTTTACCTTATATATCGAATTACTTCCCTTTTGAGAAAACTTGCACTGTAAACAGTTCTGCTTTATCCATAAGAAAGAATTAGAAACTAGAAAAATGGGTTCTGAGTTTTATATACTATATATTAGTAAAATTAAGACGCTGTGAACATTGCAACAGGAATCTGCTTGTACATAAACTCAACCAAGCTGATAGCATTGTCATCTTCCTGAGAATTTTGCTGTATTTTCACCAATATATTCTTTTTTTTTTAATAATGTTTCTACTTTCTACTAAGAAAGATCTCATGAGTCAGTAGGTGGCATTCTTCCTTATGAGTCAGTACTCAATGGAGCAGGGCTACTCAATATGCAGTCCACAGCCCATTTGTTTGTGGTCCGCGGTGCAGTTTGGGTTTACACAGGGCTCAACACGTGGCCCATGGGTGGAATCCTCTGAACATAGCCTCCATTGGGAATACGCGCCACAATGTGAGTCAATATAATGACCTTCTGTTGATATGTGTTTTAGTAGTTAAATTCCTGGACTGTCATTGCTCATTAAAAGTGCTGTCATATGGGTGGAAATCGGGAAAATATTGCATTTTATTAATATCAGCAGAATTGACTTAAATGGGGCCTGCATGTTGAGTAGTCTTGCCTTAATCTTTGTATTCATGCCTGTTAGTGTGAAAGAAGCTATTTGCATATATTTGCATGGATATTTGCATGTATATGCAACTACACTCAAGTTTTGGCCCTCAGCATGTGTTGGGAGTATCATTGTGGCCTCTGAAGCTTCCAAAGTTGAATTGCTCTGCAATACAGCATGCACAATAATCAAGCTGAAATTAAAAGCACTCATAATTTTCCTTTTTGGAGTTTGCAGTGCTTTCTTGAACTTGCAGTGGTAGTTAATGAAAAGAGTTTATGCCAGTGAAATATACTGCAGGCACAGAAGACATTTTGGCTCATTCTCTCAGGCTCAAGGACCTGTAAGGGACAGACAATATCAGAAATGGACTTGCCAAAGGCCCTGCATGGGACAGCAGTATACCACTCACTAATACAGAACTGGGAATGAAGAATGACGGGTTGCTAGGGTGAGATGGGCATGAGAGAGGGACTTATTGCAATAGTTGTCAGTAGCCACCAAATTACTAATCTCACTTCTTTATATTTTTATAAATTGTCCATAAAACAGTTGGGCTTATTTAGAATGTATTCCAGAACAAAGCAGCCCTTTGTCTCTATATTATTTGCAAACAATTTGTTATGAGAATTTGAAATACAAGTTGTCCTGGTAACTTTGATTAGCTCCCATTAGCTTTTCAAATTAGGTTTCTGCTGTAAATTCTATTGCTTACAAATATGAAACTTGCTTTTCATAATCAATCTCCCCCATTCACTTAAAATTCACCATTTCCACAAATATTCCTGTCATATGTTAAAAGCGAACACAAATGTGGTAGAATTTAGTTTGCTTAAAGACGTGACTCTATATCCACAGTTTGTGTAGTATTTTCCCTGACTCCTAGGACAGTCAGCATGAATGGTTACTAAAAATATGACTCAGAGGAGTAAGATGTGGCTCTTATAAGTGAAATTTTCTGAAAGAATGAGTACAGCTCTCTCAGATAACGGTGGAGCTCTTCCGTAGAATTATCAACTTTTAAAAGAGGTTTCATAAGGGCATTGAGTGCCAACCTCCCGAGTTCAGCAAATCCCTCTGATTTTTTCACAAGTCGATGCTCCATCTCCTATCTAAAAATGGTGGACCACCAGTTATACTATGCCTCTTTATATCCTTCTCCCTATCTCACATAGTTTACAATGAATGGTTCCATTTATGACCCCTCTCAGGCAGAGGTAAATATCATACCAGGTGCTCTCTGAACCAGATCGGCTCAGACCTTGTACATTTTTTCTATCTGAGAACAACCTTAAAGACAATGAGCAGCACTATCCAAAGCCCAAGGTCAAATGCAAGCAGTGCAAGAAGGTCAGCAGCCATGATATAAAATACAATTGCTTCTACACCCTGGACTGATTGGTTACATTTGACAGCTCTCTGCTTCGTGATACTGTTAGACACAGGGAGTGTGAAATTCAGCATCAGTAACTCTAGCCTCTCATTATAGCTCTCTTTAATGTGCTATGTCAGAGCAGCTGTGAGAGCTGACTGATGCAGTGACTCTGAAAGATTCAATAATAAAGACTATGTAACAGCAACAGATTTTATTCTGTGCTTGCTAAACTTCAATCTTAGCCACACCGTAAGTGTGAAAAGTAGGGAAATTTGTTCTTAATTTAACAGGAAAGGGCAGTTATTTTTCATATGTACTTTAGATAGCCATCACAGAATTGATTAGCTATCTTACATGACCACTCAAAAACTGATTGCTTAATAGAGGTGACCTTTCAGGAAAAGTGCAGCAGAACATGGCTTCAGGCTTTTTTTTTTTTTAAAGGATAATTAGGTGTCTAATTATTGCATGCACGTTACAAATCAGTACACTAAGCCACAGAGAAATTAAGTGACATGTCTAGGGACACAAGTTAGCTACAGGAATAGCTGAGCATACAATCCAGGTGATATATGTGCCAATTCTCTATTTTAACCACTAAACAATACTTCCTGTTTATCTTCAGTCTGGCACATTCATACCACTAGTTTCAGGAACATCACTTCGTAGGGTGACAAAAAGAGATTTGGGAACATGGTGAAGGAACCAACCAGAGGCTTTGACAAGCCTGTGGTAAGGGACCCAAATCACAGAGGTTATGCCAGAGAGCTATGTAGAGCCTGAAGCCACAGAAAAACAAAAGATGCTGCTGCCAGAAATTCCCTCAGCTGAGACGTGAAAGAGAGGAATCGTGCCAAAGGTAACACCCCATCCATCCAGCTCTAGCAATCTAGGCTGAGATTTTTCAAATGTCATGTAAGAAATTTGGATGCAAAATTCCATTAAAACAAATTAGAAGTGGGCACCCATCTTCTGAGCATCCAGCTTTGAAAATCTCAGCCATATTGTTTCAGGAACCCTGGAACCAAAGTATGGCGATGACATGCTAGCTGGCTGGAATATTTTAAGAACAGGGGAACCAGTAATCCAAGATTAGGTTAAAAGACATTGTGCTGGTATTACAAGATGAGATCAGACAAGAAATTAGGGACAAATAAAGCATTCTGTAATATTCATTGGTGCCTTTAGACTTCAATAGATTTGTACAAATTTGATGGAGATCAGGATTTAGACTTTAATATGTGAACCACTTTCCTCTGTACACATTCACTGGTTGAAAATGCTATATTATAGCATGGTTATTGAAGGAATTTAGGTTTCAATTGTCAGTGGTTTACACTGATTAAAAATGTCTAAATTTTGGGGTGGCTGATGTGACTCACCTTAGGGCCTGATTTTCTTTGATTGGCCAGATACCTGTGGATGCTCCTAGTATCATCTGAAAAGGTATGCCTTCACACTTATACTTTTCCAAATAAATCATTACAGAAAAAAAAGAAATCAAGTACTCACTGATCTGGTTGGTAGATGCACTATAGAAAGCGTTGACAGTGGTTGGACTAGTAAACCACCTGTAAAAATAGTAATAAACAGCAACAAAAAATTGGTTGTCAACGCATTTGGCTTGTCAATGGAATGATCAAGGATAAAAGGTTAATTCGGTTAAATGAAACCAAGAGAGTAAAAGCCATTAGATACATTACAAATGTAATTATTTCTGCAATTTTGTCAGTTGCTATCTGAGATTTTTTGATCATTTAAATCTATTGTCTACTGACATAATTTTAAATGACTATAATCAAATAGTGCTTAACAGAGCAGTGACTGGAGGGCACACTTGCTAACATTTATTCTATTTTTGTGTTCTTTTAATAGTGATTTTAGTGCTTATGAAAACTGCCAAATTGGTAGCAGGGGACAAAAGTCCTCTACTTGAACTGAGCAGGTGCAACACAGACAGCAGCTATGTTAAGGGCAATCTCACCAAGGTACCTCAACCTACTCATGGAGAAATAACCTATAGAAATTAGAGAAGCATAATCAAAAATGAATAAGTGAGTCTTTTCAGTCTTTGGCCTCTCTTCTGCAATCTCTGAGAAAGTGACTACTCATGCCAATTAGGATGATTTCAATTATATAGACTTTTCTCTGATAAGAGCAGAAGAAAGAAACAAATGATTTCAACACTCTATAGCCCATTCAGCCAATACTGATAATTATTTTATTGCAATACAGATTGCAATAAGCTTTCAGCAATTCTTAACCAATGGCATAGAGGTAAAATATTTTGTACTGTGGGCTAGGGGACTATGCAAAGTATGAGGTTATAGGAACTCCTAATCCAGCTTTTCCCCTGATTCATTGTTTGGTCTGAACTAGCAATTTATCCTTTCCATTTCCCATCTTTAAAATAAGTAATATATTTATTTACCTGCCGTAGAGTCCGATCCAATCCAACCAAACGCACATGAGTGACATTCCTCAAAGGTTTTCCTTTTGATATTTTCATACCCTCTGCTCCTTGTTTCCCACCCCTTCCATTTTTTTTCCTTCCCCCCCTCTCACTTCTCCCCTATTTATGTAGGTTAGTTAACACAGGGATATATAATATGCTAAGCAAGTGGTCCCCAACCTTTTGGGGCTGCTGGGCACCCGGGGGCGGGGCTACTCACACGCCAGGCTCCTGAGGGCAGGGCCACACATGCACCCGGGGGTGGGGCGGGGCCGTGCACATGCCTGGGGGTGGGGCCACCCATACGGTGCGCTCCCGGAGCTAGGGCCACCCATGCGCCACACGCCCGGGGCTGGCACTGGCGCTGCTCCTGTGCCACGCACCCAGGGGTGGGGCTGCCCATACGCCGTGCACCGGGGATGGAACAGCCCATGTGCTGCACGCCCAGGGGCGGGGCCACCACCACCCATGTGCTGCATACCCAGGGCCAGCGCCGCTCCAGTGTAGCACGCCCAGGGCCGGTGCCACTCCTGTGCTGCGCACCCAGGAGCCGGCACCGCCCATATGCCACGTGCCCGGATGAGGGGCCACCCAAACACCACGTGCCCGGAGCTGGCACTGCTCTTGTGCCACATGCCCGCACCCGGGGGCAGGGCCACCCAAATGCTGCGCACCTGGGGGTGGGGCTGCTCATGTGCTGCGTGCCCGGGGCCGACACTGCCCAGGGGGCCAGCACCATCCATGCGCCCGGGGGCAGAGTCAGCCCTGTTCACTCGGCAGGTACATAGAAATGGCCCGGCAGGCGCCATGGCACCTGTGGGCACCGCATTGGGGACCACTGTGCTAAGCATTATCCCACACTGCTCTGCAACTCAGTGTTCCTCTCTAATGTTATTTTTTAACAAATTGTTTATGTATTAAATAAAGTGATGTTCATAGGGGTTACAAATATTGTACAAGTCTGCAAACAATTGCAAAATAATTATTTTCAGTTGATCATGTGCTTTCATTGTTGCTCTTGGTGTTCTAAAACAAATGCACAGCATGCAATGGGAAAACCAGAATACCGGCGCTTTTCCACTAATATTGTAACAGACAAGATTTGAAGGATTTAATATTAAGCCTGGCTGAACTTCTACTGCAAAAAGGTATGAATTAACACTGAATCTATTGAAGTTAATAGCAACATTCACATAGACGTTACTGGGGAGAGTCAGATCCGACAGGTGAAATTCTGCTTTACTTAGACCAATGAGAGTTTTGCCATTGATGTCAGTGGGCCCAGGATTTCACCCTAGGTTTATATGAAGAAAAAATAAAATAAAATAAAACAAAAGTATAAAATAATTAGATTAATGAGTAATTGTTATTAAATTAGGCCCAGGTGTAATAAATGTCTATATGTCTAACGGGGGAAAAATTAAGTTATCGTATGGGATGCTAGAATTTTTTCTGTATGCAAGCGCAACAATTTAGAATGTTAAAGCAACAACTTTAGAAAGTCTCCCTGAAAATCAATAGGACTTATGCGCCTTAAGTGCCTAATTCACTTTTGAAAATGTAGCTCTTCCATCCAAATTACTGAAGCCTTGCCATTCTGAATGGACTAACATCTAAATATCTTTTAGAAATCTAGGCCTTACCCTGTCAGAACCTCATTGCTTCCATCTGTACCATGTACATAACAACACTACCCAAACTCATGGGAGTGTATAAGGATAACACAGTGGGCAATAATAACACAGTGGGCAGGGATGGGCAATGATTTTAGAAGGGAGACCACTTCACAATTTTTTGAAGTGGCCCCAAGTCACCCTGGAAAGGGAAGGACCTCAGGAAGAAGGGGCAGGGCCAAGACACTTCCACACTCCCCTGCCCACAGAACCTGATTGGCCTGGGGGCAGAGGAAGCACATGAAGTCTTTGCCCCCTGACCCCTAGAGAGAACCACCAGCTCTTCTGAACAGCTGATGGTTCCCTCTAGGTGCTGTGTGCCCCTACCCCCAGGCCAATCAAAGTCTCTCGCCCTCTGCCCCTTCCCTGCAAGCTGTTCAAAACAGTTGGTGGTTCACTTTAAGCACAACGCATCCCTGCCAGAGGGAGGAGACTTTGCACACTCCCCCATCTCCAGGTCTCAATAGGCCTGGGGGCAGGGGAGCAGTAGGGCGGTCCTGGGCCAGAACCAACCTTCAGAGGCACTCTTGCCAACTCCTGTTATACAGTAATGGTAGGTCATATACAATTGTACGAAAGAAAAATTAAAATCACAGTTAACTGGGTACATGGCTAACAGATATTAAACCATTTTAAATTATTTTAAGAGGCGGGAGGACACACTGGCATTGAAAACTAGTTAGGTCATGGTTTCTCTTACCACAATTAGGGTATGTCTACACTGCCACCCTAGTTCGAACTAGGGTGGCTAATGTAGGCATTCGAAGTTGCAAATGAAGCCCGGGATTTAAATATCCCGGTCTTCATTTGCATCTTGCTGGGCACTGCCATTTTTAAATCCCCCTTAGTGCAGACTCCGTGCTGAGATTAACCTTTTGTTGTTCTCTGGACAATCAAAATAAGTCTAAAAATGGGCACATATAGGTGACTGGACAGATGACAAGAACGGCTAAAACACTGGTCTTCACCCTCAATCTTTTACCTGGACTGTCAGAATCTTCTCCATAATGGTCCACCTTTTACCTGACTCTGCACCAATCCATTCCAAGGACCCCATCTCACATTTTCCTCATCCGTCTGTTGTTCCATTGAACCTGCTTCTTGAGCCTCTCCACTGCTACTGCATGGAGCTCAGGTATCTCATCCCCATCTAGGCTCTGCATAAGTCTGCCCTATCTATATCTCTGCTATTTCTGCAACTAGAAGTAAAGAGGAGCTAGCAGCTTTCAAATGTTTGATTTAAAAAATTGTCAAAATGATAGATTTAGATTTTTCTTCTTCTCAGCTCTAATTCTAATTAGCCCCATCCCTATCTACACAATATCCAGCCATTTCCCTCCTCTTGCCCTCCAAAATCCACTGTCTCCTCCAACTTGCGATTCTCACCCCTTCTCATAATTCTCCCTCTGGTTCTTTGATAATTAAATGAACAATCACTGCAATTTTCCTTTAGCTTGCTGGGCTGATGAAATTGGCACAGTTCGTAATATTACTGCCTAGAAACCTGTCCTATCTCATAAATCAGTACAATGTTGATAATCTTTTGGTTATATTACTGTTTTGGTTAAATATCATTATTCCAGCAGAGCCTTTACCAGAGCCAACAAAATCCATCCCTACAAATTTATTGAGCCACACTGTGAGCCACTCGATAATTAGAGCCCTGTGCAGATACAAAATGTATGTCTGTATCTAATCTGTGAACTGTAAAAAGCAGATATCTGCAGATTTTCAGGGCTCTCCACTCATGAGATCAATATAGGTATGTATATTAAAATAATTTTGTAAAAGGTTACTGTACATATACAGAAGTCAAATAATATGTTTTAATTATTTGTATTATACACAGTACTAAACTACAATATGTAATAATGACCTGAAAAATTCCATGAAAAACAGAAAAACATTTCGTTCTACTGTAAAACATGCGGGAACTATAATCATGTCTCTGTGACTCAGCTTAAATGTAGCAAAACTGATCTATTTTTAGACCACATTTCACAGGTTAGGCTGGTGTGAATTATGACTGTTGAATTATAGCCACCATAAAATATAGTAGAAGCTTATAAGGGAAGCACTAGTGGCTCTTAATAGTTCAAACTGTGCTACCATCCATTTTGTATAATTTCCAAGACATATAGGCAAAATAATTACCAAACATATTGATTACCATGGGAAAATTCTAGGGTTGCTATAAGCTCTGAAGAAGGGGTAGCATGTAGTTCTGCTGCCTAAGGAACAGACTGCTAAACTTATTCGTGTAGACATACCCTATGACTCAAAACTTATTCGTGTAGACATACCCTATGACTCAAAACTTATTCGTGTAGACATACCCTATGACTCAAAACTTATTCGTGTAGACATACCCTATGACTCAAAACTTATTCGTGTAGACATACCCTATGACTCAAAACTTATTCGTGTAGACATACCCTATGACTCAAAACTTATTCGTGTAGACATACCCTATGACTCAAAACTTATTCGTGTAGACATACCCTATGACTCAAAACTTATTCGTGGTTTTCCCTTTTGCTTCCTGGGGGAAGAAATCCGCATCCGCACTTTACCTAGCAGGTTTCACTTCCCATTTCTCACCAGTTCAGCTAGTTGGCCTGGAGAAACTGCAGTGGAGATGGGTGAGGTCAAAACTCTGTGCACTCCCCACAACCTTGAACAGGAAGTGGCGTAGTGAGCCTATGGAGGCTTCTCTCTCTCTCCCCACCCCCATTCCATAATCCACAATATGGGTAGCTCCTCCCGCCCCAGGAAACTAAGGGGGCACTTTACCCCTCTTTTCTCCATTACACACAGGTATAGGGTGCCCCACAATCTCACCCTAAGTAGACAGTAGGTTTGTTATTTTTTTTAAACGTAGCATAAAGGGCAAAAAAAGGCCAGATTTGATCGACCACGCTACTATGAGATTAAAAAAGCCTTCAAGTTCTCACTGAATGAAGAGAAGCAGGATAAGAGGGAGAAATTGTATTCTATCTCTCACCAAACAGAGAAGTAAATCCCTTATTTTTAAACATATCACTGATGTGGAAAGTCTCAGAGTATGGCCCTAAAGATGTATATTTCAGGGATTACAGGCCAAAAAATTTCCTCCAAGATGACATTCCCCTTCGTGCTAAGAACCTATTTAGTGCACATTAATGCAGCTAAAATTTTCTCTCCTTGAGACTGATGGATAGAGGTTGTTTATCTCCTTTTCTATAAAAGAGAAAATGTTATTTCACTGCTCTATGGAAACTCATAATGGTCTTGAGAGAATATATTATCATGATCTAGCTATGGCACACAAGGCTATAGAGAGTCTACAAAATCATCCCCTCAGAATTAACCCTTCTGCTTTCAAAGTAGTATGTTTGTGAGATTTTAGTAATTATCCCATTGACGTTAAGCTGCTAAAATCAAGGACTATGCCTCAAAAATATAGTGCCAAATTCTGATATACTTACTAACAGGGAAAAGTACAGTACATTACTCTTTGAGTAGTCTTATTGAGACAAGGGAACCACACGTGGTCTAAGGTGAAGCCCAGCATGAATAAGGATAACAGAATCTGATTTATAGGAATTAATAATATACTATAGACAACTATCATATTTAATTGTACTGTGGAAAATTACCTTTAAACCTAAAGATGACAACATGTATATGAAATATGACCATCAGTGCTAACTTCAAAAGTTTTATGCAGCAAAGGTCATTTTAAAATAGTGTGATTACATTAATTTATTTCTATATATCTGTTTTAATTAAACTTTTAAGGATTCAATTACCTATCAGTAAGAAAAGAGATTTGATTACCACTGTGTGTTAGACCATTGTATGAAATGCACTTTCATATTTTTTTAAGTAAATTTAAAATGTTAAAATGAAATTAATTATCTCTTATTCCACATCACTGCTATCAACAGCAAATAATGCTAGCTGCTATTAGTAATAACAATATTATCCCTTAATAGTCTATTAAAGGAAAAAATATTGAATAAAATCCCTGCTGTGCCATTCTAAATTCTTACTGGGACCAAGAGAAATAATCTATTCTTAATTGAGATTCAATTACTCTTTCTTTTCATTAAATTAAACATTTAACCTCCATGAATATGAAGAGTGTGATGATGCATTAGAACAAGACTGCCCAGAATTTTTAAGAAGTTTTTAAAGACAGAAATATTTACAAGCATTTCTGAGTAACTATTGATTTTTTTTTCTGTAGGATTAGTCCACCATAATTAGGCACTGTGTGTGTGTGTGATTTTATTCAGTGTACATGTTTGCCTACTCACTCTGTCTTTGGAACTTCTTTTCTAAGCCAGTAGAAGTCAGACTGGGCCAAATATTTGCGGGTCTGCAGTACGTTGCCAAAATAGTCATTTTCTGAAAACTTCATCTGTGTAAATAAATCATAACCATTAATATGACCCACAGACACAAAGATGACATGAAAAGAATCAGAATTTCCACATAACGAGATAATAAATAAATAAATAAATAGATGGCTAAAAACCATTTGGTACGGTAATCATATTATTCACATTAAAACATTTAGGATAAAATCCATCACAATACAAAGACTTTCCAAGGACCTTCACACTGTGGGTTGCCCTACCTAAGGAATGGCTCATGAGAAGAGCAGGTATAAAGGAGGATCTCAACACTTTGCACATCACCTCAGGTGACAGGGTGGTCATATAGTAAAGACAATAAGATGGAACTCAGGATATCTATATTCTATTCTCTGCCCTGACACCAAACCTTCTGTGTAATAGTGAGCAAGTCACTGTTGTGCTTCAGTTCCCTGTCTATAAATGGGAATAATAATATCTGTCTGTAATTACTATTATTCTGCAATAATTTGCACTATGAACCCTGCTTGTTTCATCAGATTAAATATGCAAAAATGCTTCATGACCATAAACAATTGATTATGTATTACTTATATAACAAGAGAGCACAGGGGCCCCAGTCCTTATCAGGTCCCCAGTGTAATTTGAACTGTAATCAAGGAGACAGACAGACATGGCCATTGCCTTTAAGCATGTTCAAATATGAGAATTATTCATTAAGAGATTTGTTTCAAAATACTTGCTTTGCCATCAGCTAACTAGTCTAGAAAGATCTAGAAAACATGACCTATGAGGGAAGACTGAAAAAAATGGGTTTCATTAGTTTGGAAAAGAGAAGACTGAGAGGGGACTTTTAGCAGTTTTCAAGTATCTAAAAGGGTGTTACAAACAGGAGGGAGAAAAAATTTTCTCCTTGGCCTCTGATGATAGGACAGAAAACAATTGGCTTAAATTGCAGCAAGGGAGGTTTAGGCTGGACATTAGGAAAAACTTCCTGTCAGGATGGCTAACAATGGAATAAGATGCCTAGGAAGGTTGTGGAATCTCCATCATGGGAGATGATTAAGAGCAGGTTAGATAGACATCTGTCAGGGATGATCTAGATCAAGGATCAGCAACCTTGCTAAAGTGGCATACCAAGATTTAACCCTCCTGC